GGGGTGTAGTTCTTCCGATGTTGATGAAGCCGCGTTATATACGAGACGTGAGCTACCGTTGTTTAGCCCTTCAAAATGATGTTGGTGTTTTGAACGCTGAGACTGAGATGTTAGCCTGTGCGTGTACTATCTGCATGTCCTCGAATACTTTTAAGTGAATTACCCGATGGATGCAATATGAGGTGGAAGAGTGGCAAAGAAAAGAAGCGTAATCTCTCTGCGATTCCAGCGGCCCCAAAGGTGACACTGTAGTCATTTGAAGCGGAGAACCTAGGCTTTCCGGCGGAATGACGTACGCGCATGCACATGACTAGGAGTGCGCTGCCGGTGTGGTGATTTGTGCGTGGCTTTGCGTGCAGCGGTTTGGGGCGGTGGTGCAAAGGGATGGCGACGAGCGTGTTGCATAGCACCTAGACTTGCCTTCGCGATCAAAAGTACGAAAGCGGATCGTAAAGGCCACTGCGATGTACGCCCCCTTCTCAATTGCGTTTCCTCACGCACTTCTGTTTGCAATGTATGGTGTAGGCAAAATTTGATATGGGCGATCGCAGGAGCACTAACGTTAGTGGTTGGCAGTACACATACCGATAGCAGCGTTGTCTCTCTGCCGTGACTGGAATGGCTGCATGCTTGGCTTTACCTCCGTTTAAACGTTGACCGAATGTTCTTGCTTCCACCATTACTATAAGTGTGGAGCTCAGGGGAATTTCGATTTCGCTTTAGTAAGTGCGTTCATGTAGCAGGCTGCAAAAGGGGACCACAGCAGTGCTCCATGTGGCCTGATGCCCCATCGAGAACTGCTATATAAGAAGCACAGACTCACTTTCCTGAAGGTGCTGCTGATGCCTATTGATAGACAGCTGAGATTGACCACCTAAAAGCAGTATTTACGCAGCTTTGGTTGTCAGGACTCACGATATACGGTTACAGCTTATTAAGGGGGTTTAAGGGTTCTAGTGCCTGGCATTCACAGCTTAAGGGTAACGCTTGTCTTGGCCCCCGGAGATTTGGGCTTTGGTTTTAGGGTTAGCGGTCCACGGTCTAGCGTTCAGGTTTCACGGCATATGGTAGCAGTTTACTGGCCTAGTTTAAGGGTTCTAGTGGCTATTGTTTAGATCTTATTGTTTAACGCATTGTTTAGTATTAAGTTTAGGTTGTATTGTTTCATGCTTAGTCGTTAGACATTAGGGTTCTGTGGTTTAGAACTTAGTGTAGCATGGTTTGTGTGGAGTTGGTACCTGCGTCTCGCTGCGGATTACACCGAGAAAATGTGTCTGCCATCAATATCTTTGTTCTACCAAACCAACTTTCGCTTGGGCTTCTCAGGCCGCCTGCAAGCAAATACTGGTGAGCATCAGTAATTATTTGCAGAGATAAAGCATGCTGCAAAGGAAACATCTCGTAGTTACCTGGGAGGTTGGCTTGGATCGTTACCTGTAGCGATGTGCGCTGCACTTTCCGTTAGAGTGCCTCCTCCTGTAAGAAAATTCCATGCGCCAGGACACCTAAACGGAGTTTCGTGCCTCAGGGATCATAAAGCCCTCGGAACTTGATCCCACTCGCTTCAATGGATACACCAAACAATGTCCGCAGCGCTGCATCTTTTGCCCCCGACGACAACGGAAGCGCAGACAAATACACAACTGTGAGACCTACTAGGGATCCAAGTTCTTTCACACGATGGGATGATGTGAATCCATAACAATGGAGATGCAGAGGGCCCAGTAAGCTGATGATATGTGGGCTTAGCCCTCAGTCCCTCACATGCTATGACGAGATTTGTCCATGCTAATACAGAATATTACACTTTTCGAACTGAACTGCTGAGTATAACGGGCCGACAGAAAAGTCAACTGACACCCTCAACTAAACTGCTACAGAGACTCAGACGTCTCATCTGATACAGCAAAACAACAAGGATAACAAGCCCTAAAAAATGTTGCTTCTCCTGTTTTTTCTCGAAATCGTTCTGTTCTGCAACCCGAATAGACCCGGAACTGCTGCCTTTGGGACTGGGAGAGGAGACGGCCTGGCATTTTGCAACGCCTTTTGAACGAAATCTCATGCGAACCTCTCATATAGTCATATAAGTACGTCTCTTCGTTTAATCTTTTAATTGCGTTCCTCTTATTCCTTAGATACTCATGCGAATGCGGTCCTATGCTCTGCGACTGCACTTCTCTGTGATGATTCTTGTGATATCTCCAAATTGAGTTCTCATTACTTCTTAGATACAAATGCGGCTGCGATGCTAGCTAAACCCAACAATGGGCGACGGTTCAAGCACTACAGCATCAATGGCGACCTCCTGCTATATCAAACGGAGCGTGCCGTTTGCAGATGGTCAATTCCAGCCTCGCTCCGCATGGACGTTTTGTGAAAAATGCATGATGATGCGTTATCAGGTCATGATTGGGTCAATACAACGGTGAGGCGTGTTGCCAGGCTATAGTGAATACTCACTACAATCACGGTAACAATGCCGTGTTCGTTGTGAAATGAATGAACGTAGTATGAACAGTGAAAATGTCGGTGAGCGCTTATTGATGTACAATGAGCATAACATTGGTAAACGCATTTATGCCGTGACCATTGGTATGATTATAAAAGAGGCTTGCAGTCGGGGTTATGCTATCTCAGCAGGCTACTGGATCGAAAAAGCATCAAATAGTCGCCTGCTACTCACAATGTTTCACAAAGAGGGAGCAAAAGTATCCGGTCAGGGAAAGGAGCTTTACGCGGTCTGGTGGGGTGTTAAAAAGTGCTGGCATTACCTGCACGGCAGGCACTTCACGATTCAGACTGATCATCAGTCATTCACACACCTGACGATGAGTTTTACAAGACTACGATAACGAAAGAGTTGCTCGGTGGCTTTCCCGGCTCACGCAGTACGACTTCACCGTCAAGTATATCAAGGGTATTACCAACGTGGTCGCCGACGCACTTTCCAGACGCCCTACAGGTCAGGCACAATGTTCTGCAACCGCGCGTCTTTGTGGGGATTCTCGCTTTTTTTCCAAATTGCGTTCCTCTTATTCCTTAGATACCCATGCGGCTGCAGTCCTAGCTAAGTTCAATAATGGGCGACGGGTCAAGCACTACAGCACCGATGGCGATCTCCTGTGGTATCACACGAAGCGTGGTGTTCGTAGATTGTCCGTTCCAGCCTCGCTTCGCACGGAACCTGTAGGCAAAGTGCACGACCATGCTTTAGCAGCTCATGATGGGGTCAATACAACGGTGGACCGTGTTCGGAGGTCCTTCTGGCGGCCTAGCATGCGCCCGTCAGTCGAGGAATATGTCCTCTCTTGTCCGGACTGCTAGCAGCAAAAGCCGCGAAACACCCTCAAACCCGGATTTCTGCACAGCCTGCCTATTCCCGATAGGATCTGGACGGATATCTCCATAGATTTTCTAGTGGGCTTACCACCTGTCAGAGGCCATGATAGTATATATGTCGTGGTGGATCGGCTTAGCAAATAGGCTCGCTTTATTCCCTGCTCGAGCACGTTCATAGCAGAGGGAGTGGCTCAACTATTCATTAATCATGTGTGGAAGCTCCACGGGTTCGCAAAAAGCATCATTACCGACAGTGGATCCGAAGTTCAATAGCGCCTTCTGGCGCAGCCTCATGGAACGGCTCAACATTGACGACAACATGACCACCGCCAACCCTCCTGAGGCAGACGGCCTGACCGAACGAACTAACCATACGCTGGTGCAGTGTTTACGACTTTACATACAGCAGAACTCATCTAACTGGCTTGAATTTCTTGCTTGTGCAGAATGGGTTTATAACGCTACAGTGCATTCGTCCACTCTCTGCTCTCCGGCGTCCCTTGTCTACACAGAAACTCCACTCGCTGATCCGCCGCTCAACCTCTCTGTTCGAAGCCAGCTCCGTTCGACTGCGGTTTCTGAGTTTTGCACACAGCTTGGAGCAGTGAGGGAATGCATGCGACAGGCACAAAAACGCCAAGCCAGAAACTACGACAAAAGACATTCCGCATTTAGTTTCAACAAGGGCGACCTGGTTCTAGTGGATTCGAACGCCCTCCGTAGCGCACAGGAGGGCGAGCAACCCAAGAAGTTCGCCACACGATGGGTTGGACCGTTTGCGGTCAGCTCTCGGGTCAACGCGTTGGCGTACATTATCGATTTACCCTCAAAGTGGAGATGCTGCCACACTATTAACGTTGGTTTCTTAAAACCGTTTCGCGAAATCATCGCGGTTCCCTCGCACTCTAGCGAGGAAACCGCGTCAACTACCTCGCGAGCTGCCCCGCTTCAAGGGCACAGATTCTCCAGGCATGGATTAACGCCCGCAGATGTCATCGGAAACGCGAATACTACGTAAAAGGGTCAGGCACACGTGATCCTTAGTGGATTTCGGAGGATCGCTTAGCGGAAGCGATCCTCCCAGAAGAGCTACGCGCTCTACTTGACCCTGCACTACGTACGCCTAGTGTGCATGCAGGCAGGTCACGGAAGCGGGCAACGGACGGCTAGATGCTAGTGGACGCCCGATCAGCTGGTCTATCACAACAAGGAGATAGCTCGATTGATGGCTAAGGGATGGATAGGACCCACGTACGCTCCCATCTGTGCGCCCACCATAATGGTCGATAAGCGGGATGATGGAAGTGGCGAACGTAAGATGCGGATGGTAGCAAACTACCACGCCCTGAACGCTTTGACAATTGCACCCGAGTTTCCCATGCCCAGTGTGCAGCCAGTGCTAAAGATGCTCGGTGGTGCAACTTACTTCTCGACACTAGACCTGGAGGCGGGCTTTCACCAAATCCGCATGGCTCGAGAGGATCGATGGAAGACCGCCTTCCGCTCGGTGCAGGGACTCGTCGAATACAAGCTAATGCCCTTTGGACTCAAAGGGGCGCCCGCGACCTTCCAGGCGAACATCAACGCTTATCTGCAGCCGCTACTCGGGAACGGAGTTATTGCTTACCTTGACGACGTACTCGTTTACAGTGCGACTTTAGAGTCACATATTCGGCTCCTGGAACAAGTCTTAGGGATCTTCTTGAGGCATCAGTTCTACCCGAAGCTGACGAAATGCAAATTTGGACAGCGCGAACTCACTTACCTGGGGTATAGGATAGGTGCCGACGGGATTAGGCCGGCAGCTGACAAAGTGGAGGCGATAAACATGTGGCCAGAAGTCCGGACAAATGAAACACAAGTTAGGCAATTCTTGGGCACCGTAAACTACTGTTGAATGTTTATGGGACCTAAATTCGCCGATGTAGAGAGACCGCTAGTTGAATTAACCCACAAGAACTCGACCTTTGTCTGGAAGGAAGAACACACTACCGCAGTTCGACAACTCAAGCGCCTCCTTTCTGAGTACACGACCCTGCAGGTTCCGGACCCAAACAAGCCATACTGTAATGACCCGGTGACAATCAACACTATGGCTGGTATGCGAAGGACTGCGTGAAGGACTTGTTTGTAACAACTTAACTGTATATCCGTTAAATCAAGGGTTTATGTCAATACTCGAACTAAAACCAAATTTCCCGCCAAGAATGTTCTGCCCCCGCGGCCGCTAGATCCGCAGGGTACGGCCGGTACATGCTCCGCGGTACCGGCCTCTCTCTCTCTGTGAGACTGCGACTATGGTATACGGTTGCCCGTAAAGCGCATTACTAGTCCAAATTGATACGAAACTATAGTCAGTTTGTCCTACCTATTACCTTTTCTAACCTTTAGTTCATTCGCTTATCTAGTTTCCTATTCTAACCGCAGTACTTTGTAGTGCGAGTGCACTACAATTTCCCCCTTCGGCCAAAATTTTCTGCCTCTCTAAAACATCTCCATTATACCCTGTACCTGTTCCTCCTTCCTCACTTGTCTCGTATACCTCCTCATTTCTAGTACATCGCCTG